GCATGTCCTCCTCGTTAAGAAAGCTGACGGATCATGGCGGTTTTGCGTCAACTACCGTGCCCTAAACGCCATCATCATTAAGGACGCTTTCCCCATCCCCGTCGTCGACGAGCTGCTTGACGAGCTCCATGGCGCCAAGTTCTTCACCAAGCTCGATCTTCGCTCAGGCTATCACCAGGTTCGCATGCGCGCCGATGACATCGCCAAGACGACGTTCCGCACACACGATGGCCTATACGAGTTCCTGGTTATGCCGTTCGGGCTGTGCAACGCCCCAGCGACATTCCAGGCCCTGATGAACGACGTGCTAAGGCCCTTCCTACGTTGCTTCGTCCTGGTATTTTTTGATGACATTTTGATCTACAGTGCTTCTTGGGCCGATCACCTGCGCCACCTACGGGTCGTCTTCGCCGTACTGCAGCAACATCGACTCTTCGTCAAGCGCTCCAAATGCGCTTTTGGCGAGCGCTCCATTGCCTACCTGGGCCATGTCATCTCGATGCCGGCGTCGCCATGGATCCCGACAAGGTGCTGGCAGTCTCCGCTTGGCCCCAACCCCATTCGACTCGTGCAGTGCGGGGGTTCTTGGGCCTTGTGGGCTATTACCGCAAGTTCGTCCACGACTACGGCGCCATCGCGGCTCCACTGACGGCACTGCTCAAGAAGGACGGTTTCACCTGGAACGAGGCCGCCCCTGTGGCTTTCCAGGCCCTCAAAGCCGCGGTCACCTCGGCGCCAGTCTTGGCACTACCAGACTTCACACGGCCGTTCATCGTCGAGTGCGACACGTCCACTCACGGCTTCGAGGCGGTGCTGATCTAGGACAAGCACCCCATCGCATACTTCAGCCGACCGGTGGCACCTCGTCATCATTCTATCGCCGCGTACGAGCGAGAGCTCATTGGTCTCATACACGCCATTCGACACTGGCGGCCGTACCTGTGGGGACATCGCTTCACCGTGCGTACGGATCACTACAGCTTGAAGTTCCTCCTCGACCAGCGCCTCGCCATGATTCCGCAACACCACTGGGTTGGAAAGCTGCTCGGGTTTGACTTCACGGTGGAATACAAGCCCGGCGCGCTGAACACGGTAGCGGACGCTCTCTCCCGCCGTGACACAGAGGACGGCGCTGTTATGGCCGTCTCCGCTCCACGTTTCGACTTCATCAACCGCCTGCGTCAGGTTCAGGCGACTGACCCTGCCTTGCACGCCCTCCGGGATGAGCTTACTGCGGGTTCGCGTGGCACGCCATGGGCTCTCACCGACGACCTGGTGACATATGATGGCCGGCTGTACGTGCCATCGGCATCGCCGCTCGTGGCTGAGTTCCTGGCCACGGTGCATGAGGACGGACATGAAGGGGTGCAGCGCACTTTGCATCGTCTTCGCCGGGACGTCCACTTCCCCGACATGCGCCGTCTCGTCCAAAACTTCATGCGTACCTGTGCCATGTGTCAGAGGTACAAGTCGGAACATCTTCACCCCGCAGGGTTGCTGCTGCCGCTGCCGGTTCTGACGGCGGTCTGGGCGGACATCGGTCTCGACTTTGTGGAGGCGTTGCCACGCGTACGGGGGAAGTCCGTCATCTTAACGGTGGTGGATCGCTTCAGCAAGTATTGCCGCTTCATCCCCCTCGCCCATCCATATTCGGCAGAATCGGTGGCTCAGGCGTTCTTCACCGACATCGTGCGCCTTCATGGAATGTCGCAATCCATGGTGTCTGACCGTGACCCGGTGTTCACCTCCGTGTTTTGGAAGGAGCTGATGAGGCTCATGGGTACCAAGCTGCATATGACGTCGGCATTTCATCCGTAGTCCGATGGCCAAACGGAGGCGATCAACCGCGTCATCACCATGTACCTTCGCTGCTTCACCGGCGACCGTCCTCGCCAGTGGCTTCGCTGGCTTCCATGGGCTGAGTACACCTACAACATAGCATACCAGACGTCCCTGAGCGACACGTCGTTCCGGGTGGTCTACGGCCGCGACCCTCCTACCATCCGGTCTTATGAGTCGGGAGACGCGCGTGGCTGCTGTGGCCCAGACAATGGCCGAGCGCGACGAGTTTCTGGCAGACATCCGGTACAGGTTGGAGCAAGCCCAAGCGTTTCAGAAGCTCCACTACGACCAGCAGCATCGCCATGTCTCCTACGCCGTGGGCGACTGGGTCCTGCTCTACCTTCGCCATCGTCCAGTGGCGTCACTGCCAGAGGCGCCCAAAGGCAAGCTGAAGCCTCGCTACTTCGGGCCATATCGCGTCACCGAGATCATCAATGAGGTGGCCGTCTGCCTCGCCTTGCCACCACGCGCCCGTCTGCACGACGTCTTTCACGTCGGACTTCTCAAGAAGTGGGTAGGCGACCCACCTGCGGCACCGCCGCCCCTCCCAACCGTCCACAACGGGAGCGGTGGTTCCAGAACCCGACCGCACGGTGTGTGCTCGCGTCGCCCGCGGCGTTCGCCAGGTCCTCATCCGCTGGAAGGGTCAGCCCGCGGCATCGGCGACATGGGAGGATCTTGACTCCTTTCGCGACAAGTTTCCAGCATTCCAGCTCGAGGACGCGCTGGTAGTCGAGGGGGGGAGAGATGTCATGTGGGGCCGTCCGTATGAGATGAGGAGGCACGCTCGCGACGTGCGCCGTGACGCGGAGCGCGCCGAGGCAGCAAGAATTCCAGTTTGATTTGTTTCCTTTTATTTAGGAAAGTTTGTTTCCTTTTATTAGAAGAGTTTGTTTTCTTTTATTAGAAAGCCATGGGCTATATATTATTGTACGGAGAACCCTTATGAGGCAAGCAATATATTATCATCTAATCTTCCATCTCTTCTCTCCAAACAAGCCTAGGATTGCTGAGGGGAAAAACCTCGCCCTAGACGACGGAACGAGGCTACGAACTCCGTAGCCGAGGGCCGGCTACCCTAGAGCCCGACGCCCTTGACAAGATTACTCCCTCTGTTCGGAAAAGAACGCAATTCTAGCATAGTACTAAGTCAAACCATCTTGAGTTTGACCAAGTTTATACAAAAAGATATTAATATTTATAATATCAAATAAGCACCATTAGATTCATCATGGAATATATTTTCATAATACACCTATTTGATGTCATATATATTGATAATCTTTTCTACAAACCTGGCCAAACTTTAGATAGTTTAACTAGAGACAGAAGTATAATTGCATCCTTATCCGGACAGGGGTAGTCCGTAGTAGTAGAGTACTTGTTGATCAAAGTTTTATCCTAACAATACAAACTACACATTACATTTGCAGACTGAGGGAGTAAGAAACATCAAATAAAAAACAACGGAGAGTGCCTAATGAAGTTTTGACCTGTTTCCTCAAAGCAGGGTTAAAAACTGAATTTTAAAACTTCATGGGAAACCAATTAAGGTTAAGGAAACATGACTTTACCAACTACTCCATCCATTCCAAAATGTAGGCCATTTTAGACTTTAGTCTGTCCTAAGCCAAACTTCTGTAATATTGACCAGTTTATAGAAAAATACAATCTATAACATCAGATTAGTCTCATCAAATCCACCATGAATATGTCTTGACAGTGCATTTATTTTTCTTAGAGAAAGATGGTCCCAGCTTTATAGAAAGCTAGTAAGAGTGTGTTACAAGAATGCTGGTGTTACCAGCACACATTACAGCACAAGATGCTCACAGAGCAACACACAAATTGAGCATTTATTTTGTACTGTAGATGCTGATATATTTTCCTACACAATCGGTCAAAGTTAGAGAGGTTTGACTTAGGACAAAACTAAAACGACCTACATTTTAGCACGGAGGTAGTATTATTATAGAGTATATTCCTGATTTAAAAAAAATAGTCACACAGGAAACAAAAGGCAGATTTCAAATCCGGAGACCAAAATCTTGTTTTGGGGAAAACTTACCCTTGCCTGATTAGCAAAACGTGGCTGGTTTTCTTTTTAAAAAATTACAGAATTGAGAATTTTGAAGGGCGGGCCTGGTGCAAGCGGTAGAGTCTTACCGCCTATGACCGGAAGGTCACGGGTTCGAGTCGCGGTCTCCTCGCATTGCACAGGCGAGGGTAAGGCTTGCCACTGACACCCTTCCCTAGGCCCCGCACAGAGTAGGAGCTCTCTGCACTGGGTACGTCCTTTTTTACAGAATTGAGAATTTTGTTTCTTGAAATAAATGTATCAGCACAGTCACTGTACAGAAAGATTTAGAGTTTGAGAAACCAGTTGTAGTGGCACTAAGGTAAATTACATTCTGACAAAAAGAGCGTCAAATGAGGAGATGAGACCATTTAGCCCATAAACAGATTCAGAAGGCATCCGGTTTTTTATGTGATCCTAGGAGCTTGGACCTTGTGGAATCACCGCAATAGATGTGTTTTTGATGGAGCTACTCCCAGATTGGTTGGCGCTTTGGGTTCTGCTTTGGAGGAGAGTCGGCTGTGGGCTTTGGCTGGGGCGCGGGGACTATCTTCTAAATATAATGAAGCACAGTTCTCCTGCGTTTTCGAGAGAGAGAAAAAGGCATCCGGTTTTTTACAGTTAACAAGTATTTGATTCATAAGTAAGCAACAGAATTGACTAATACTAAACGAAACAATTTAGAAGCGAAGATGAAACAACAAAGGAAGAATAGGGTACTTGGCATATCACTAAATTTCATTTTCTTTTGAAACATATATAAATAATTTAAGCACGAACAGAGGAATTTAAGTCACCAATTTGGAATATATGTACGCAGTCAAATGGAAGAATTACCTGAGCTGAGTATTATTGATACCATGATATATACATAGTTTGCTTGAAGTCCCACACACTGCATGCGGTCTTCAATTAGTAATGATCTGATGCCTAGAAGGCTTTTCAGAACCCTATGTGTGTTTTTTCTACAGGCACGATGAAGAATTAAGTAAAAAGAAGTAATATCCAATGCACTGGGCACGACCTGCAATACTGCAGGAGCTATGATCTGCAAGAAATATTGTGCGAATACACCTTTTTCTCATTCCACATCAACAAATTGAGTACAGTCAATATCTTGAAGAGTGATCTTGCCAAGAAAGAGATCACTTGCATGCATAGAGCACAAGGGGAGACATTTCTTGTTCAGACTCTCATGAATAGCACCTAATCCATTGACCCATTTCTTTTCATTCAATGGATCAATATTTAGGCGATTTTGCAGCAAACGTATTCTGTAAAGCACAGTTTCTGTTTTTGCACAAAAATGTGCTAGGCATGGATAGGAGGTGCCATCAACTGCTAATCTCACCAATATCATCGTCAAGGCACCATCCACAGGCTTTGGGTCAGACAAGTTTTTATCACCCATCATTTTGATCTCACGTTCTGTTGGGAAGTGCACTTCTGCCATTCCATCATCATTTGCTACCTTTAAATCCTTTGTAAAATGGCTAATTGCTTGCCTCTTAGTGCACTCATGCTTCTCTGCTAGTGTCAAGAAGCAGCAGAACCTCAAGTGGTAAGTGACAACAGTCTTGACCACCTTGAAGTTACGGCAACAACAGAAGAAATCTAGCCACCTCCTCCCAACGCTAGCATACCATCTGATGATATCTGCATCATCCAAACAGAGAAGTAGCTTCATTGGCCGTGGCCGGCCCATGGAATTTGTGAATCCAGCAAGCTTTACCGTTTTCCTTACAAGATCTATCGGCACATTGGCCCTCATCTTAAGCTCTGTCAATTCCTCAACAGTCCTCTTCTCATATTGCTTCTCTTCTTCCTCCTCAGCTAGCCTCTCCTCTTGTTCTGTCATGTCATGACCTCCCATGGGCATAAAAAACTTGTCAATTGTCTCTTGTAATTTATCATATGAGTCCACCAAGGCAGGTGGCAATTGATCTCTCACCCTATTCAATGACAAGAAGTCACCTGACGCAAGCAGTCGGTGCCAATATTGGCAATGCTCACGTGATTCGAAGTATTCAGCCACTGTCTCCTCTGCCCAGTCCCTGAACAATTGCTGCACCTCTTTCTCAATCCGAAAATCGAATTCAAACTCCTCGCCCCTCCTCATCCTCTTGAACAAGTGGTTCAGTATCTTCAAGCCGAGCTTCTTCCTCCTCGTCTCCCGTGCATTTTTCAGCTCCTGTGCCTTTTCAGCCTTCATCTTCAGATACTTCTTCCTTGCCCTCTTTGCTTTCTCTGACATGGGTGGGTGCAAGATTGAAGGTGGCACAGCTTGGAATTCTATCCCCAAAACTCAATCTTCTCTGATACAGCACTGTGGATTGAGCTCCCAATCTATCCACCCTCACCTCCAAATCCCTCTCCAAGGCAGCAATTATCCTGTCCCTGATCTCAATTGTGAGCATCTTCGACCCAGACGTCACAACCAGAATATCATCTAGATACCGAATCGCATACACTCTCACAGGTGTATGCCGAACGCTGTCATCCTTCATTCTAGGATGCTTTTTGTGCACTTCCTCACGGATGACCATTATCTCTCCATCCACAAGATTGAAGAATATGTTCACTAGCGTGCCAGTGAGCTCTGATTCCTGTGGCAGCCCGCGTCCGAGCTCGCAGCCACCAAGCTCAAATGCGACCGCATCAGAGACGAACAGCTCGTTGAGGAACTCCAGGAACCCGGGATCATCGACCTTACTGGAGATGGCACCGAGCAGACGGCGAACGTGGCGGGGGGCGAAGGGCTGGCGCGGGATGGCGACGCGGAAGAACCAGGACGCGCTGGGAATGGACTTGAGGTATCGGACGGCTGCGTGGCGGCCGCGGTAAGCGAAGGTGGCCGCGCGCGGGGCGAACACGGCGTCGAGGACGGAGGCGGCGCAGCGCAAAGCGAGGCGGAGCGGGAGCGTGGGGACGGGGAGCGGCTGGCCCTTGAGGCGGGACGGGAGGAGGAGGCGGAGGTGGGATGATGGGGATGAGAACGCACCGGCGGCGGCGGCAATGGTGATTGGTGGGGGTTGGGGCGGGGTGGGGAGGGATGGGTGCGCGCGGCGGCTTAGGTGGAGCGCCGAGGAGAGGAGGACGGAGGGATGCGAGAGGAGGGGGAGGAGGGAGTGGAAGCGGTGGGTGGAGGCAGAGTAGTGACAGCGGCGGAGGAGTTGCTCGAGGTCCGCGGCCGAGAGCGGCGCCGCAGTGGGTGGAGTGGGAGCGGGAGCGGGAGCGTTGGAGAGCGCGCGGGATGTGGGGAGGATGAAGCAGTGGCACACGCGGGTGTGGGCGAGGCGGTGGAGCATGAGCGGCGTGGAGATGGAGAAGGTGGACGGGCTGCTCGGCTCCGGCGGCCGGGCGGGTGGAAGGCAGATGTTTCAGTCGCCGATCGCTGCGCCGCTGCGTCGACGGGGAGGAGTGCTGGAGTGGTGGGGCCGTGGCGCGCGATTTGGGCTGAGCAAGAGAACGGGCCGACGCGCGTGCACCGGGCAGGTCCAATTGTTTAAGCCGGTGAGAAGAGCTGAGCGACGGAAGCCCACGGACCTCTGGATGTTAGATGTCCCTCCAACAAATACTCTTTGCTCAAAAAAAAAATCCCCAACAAATACTGTATGCTCTCTGATTCTTCACTCTTAACTCTAGCTTCCTTGGTTTTTCTAAAAAAAAATATCTAGCTTCCTTGGTTCTCAGACAACCAACTGATACAATTAAAAAGAATAGCACATAAGCAATAATTCATATTTTTCTATAGTCAAACAAAAAATAACAATAAAAATTAGGCACCAGAAATATAAAAGAAGTGTATTAGGCACGAATGGGGACCTGCTGAACCTTGCGGCTGTTCCTGTCGTTAACCACGTGTCCATGCCTTCTCCTACGGCGGCGGCTGCGGCCTGCGGGCCACAGGGTATGTAAACGAATAACGAAATACTAGCTAGCTTCCGGCGCCTCACTGAAAACTACTGTGTGATATCAGAAGAAGAGCGGAAAATGCACGATGCATGTAACCATCCAATCTGCAGCTGCAGTGCCATCTCTTTAGGCACCATTAAAATGGAGACCTCAGACCTGTCACCTTTTCATCCTGTCCTAACTTCGGCAGAGCACGCGTTCCTGGCGACATATTGTAGTGCAATTAACTGAGAGTTCGCTGGCATTTGCTAGAGAAACCTCGGTTTTGAGCCTGGAAATTCCAGCATGCCAATTAAACTCTCCAGAACGGCAACCAACACAACAACCAAGTACAACTTGAACCTCTAAATAAGCAAGGTAATCATGCCAGACAATACGTATCTGGACAAATTTACAAGCATGATCTGTTATTACGGAAACAAACAGGAAGTACAAAACAACAGCCCCCAGAAGTAACATTTTACAAACTCTTTTGTACAGCATGATCTGTTGTCTAAATTACATCATATATATACCCCTTATTATCTCGGGACTCTACTTTAAAAAAAAATAGAACAAATATGGCTTCACAGGGGAAAAAAGGGTTCGCAAGCTCACAAACAAACCTGTGACCTTGTAGGAAAGAATTGGAGTGACCGGATCACCAATGCAGTGATCTGGCACAAGTCATCGCGCATGCAAATTGTCAGTGAAGAACACAACTCAGGAGCATGAGCAGCTAAAAACTCACTGGACTTGCTCCTCCAAAACCCACCGAGGGTCCCTTGACCCTGGTACTGGTAGGCTACACTTACAATGACTCTTACCACTTCTGAATTGACTACGAGAGATTGCGAGTGCCTGTGCCTGAAAAAATGGTTTTACCTTTTGAAAACAGTGTCATTGTGCTCTGACTTAGCAAAGAAAAGCGCAGTCTGTTTGACAGTAGCAGGTTTTCAGAACAGCTGAAGGGCAATCTTGAGCCTGTTCTGCTTCCACTTTGGTAGCTTCCCAAATGCCTCCTTTGTCATCCCAAACTTTTCTCTGAACTCCGACGAAGACAGATATGTCTGCAATGTGCCAGTGTAGTAGTTTTAGGGCTTGAGTCAGTTAGGCAATGGCGCTGTAAGGGCAGAAAGATTTACCTCTCGCTTGGTAAAATCAATGTCTGTGGGGGGATTGGTGGATGATGTCCTCAAGCGGTCATATGGGTATATAGGAAGCCCTGCTTGACCATCTGCCTGACTCTCTTTTACATCTTCCTCTACTGTAGGAGCTGCAATTTGACTATCCTTTGTAGGGTTCATTTCCTTGGCGTTCGTCTCTAGTTTAGGTTTGCTCGCTTCAATTTGGGGCTTGCTTGCATCAGGGCTCGCTTGACACCAAAAGAACATAGAAGGTAAGAGAAACCATGCCAGAAATGTAAAATACCACTATCCTTTTTAAGGATGCTAGCATACCTTTTATTGACTTTGGTATTAGAGTTGCTTTAGGCCGCTCAAAAGTAGAAGAAATTGCAGCGATTGAAGCTGTCCTTGGAGGTGGCTTTGAAGAATCAGGAGATACAGGCTTCGGAAGTTGTTTCCTAACAACTGGTGGAGGAGTTGATAGGTTTCGAGCATTTGGGTCCTCGAAGTTAGCAGCCAATGCATTGAAAGCAGGCGACCTTCCTCTGACTCTTACACGATCAGGACTGAATGACATACTTCTGGAACGTTGGGATTTATCAGGTACACTAGACCTTCCAATGTGTGTCGATGTTGTTGGCCTTCTTTTTGGTTTCTACAAATATTATAACCATGGATTAGCCTAATTCTAGGAAAAACAACATTAGGAAACTGAGCTAAACACAGTGAATGCATGTTGATCCAGTCAACCACGCATATGGTCCCAACTGTCTAACAAGATACTCCCTCCATCCCAAAAAGGATGCAATTCTAGAATAGTGCTCAGTCAAACTGTGAAGTTTGACGAAATTTATGAAAAGGTATTAATGCTTATCATACTAAATAGGTATCATTCGATTTGCCATGGAATATATTTTCATAATATACTTATTTGGAGTCTTAAATGTTGTTACTATTGTTCCATAAACTCAATCAAATTTAAGTTAGGACAAAACCTATAATTGCATCCTTCCTGGGACGGAGGTAGTAATTGTCATTATCGGATACAGAAATCTTACATCTGCTCTTGGTTTTACTCCATCCTTCACTATAGATAGCCTCCTTTCAAATGAGTTACCATGCATCTGAAACAACTCACAAGGGAAAAACATGAGTTTAGCACGTGATATTTGCTCAACTCCAAAGCCACTGTAATCGAGAAGGGAGTGCTTACTGCTGATTTTGCTGAATCCCAACTGAAGAACCTGGTGAAATATTGGGGTTCGCTTCCTTCAGTGATGACATAAAGTGGTGTTTCTCGTGATACATTCTCCATTAGAATGTCAAGTTCTAGAAATTTCTGCCACAAAGCATGGTTTCACAATCCACTTTAAATTTTGAAAAAAAAGGCTTCTCATTTATAGCACTCTATACAAAGAAAATATGAATGTATCATATACCTCTCCAATGTTCAAAGCTTGTGCTCGTATTTTTGAGTCCACACGTTGTCCAACCCATACAAAGACACATGAGTGACAATCCAAAATAAATATATCCTCCGTCATCAAATCATCTTGAGTGAAGTTGAATATTTCTCTGACCTACAAAACCAGTTTACCAGCATTAATTATCAGCACACTATTTTCATGACAAACAATATATAAACTTCAGCATACGCACCTTAAGCACCCCTTCTCACCCCAAAGTATGACCACGGGGGAAAAAATCAAAAAGAGGAAATCAGATAAGGTGCACAATGAATTATAAAGACCAATTAAGATATTAAGATAATGAATAAATGCAGTGGGGAACTTTCAAATTTGTCTTACCCTTTATAAAAGTACAAGCAAATAAATGAGGGTCACTTTCTTGATCCCTCACAATCTTCTGGCTGCCATACTCAGACTTGACTCCAAGTAACTTCCAAAACTGATCATATTCAGATCCTTCTTTGAGCATTCTGGACTGCAAATTTGGCTGCATATATAGTGGATAGAAGAATGGAAAGGTTCAGTGTTGCAGTAGTTTATATGATAGAGCAGTGAGCAGCGCAACCAGGACAGAAACATGCTCAGGTAATGTATCAATATAAAGTTACACAGAAGCAATCAACAAGCTAATATGTAAGTTGGGAAGATATGATCAGGAAGCATATATGTTGTCATAATACAACTAGACAAGCAATGAACGGATTTACTGCCATACAATGGCTATGTTGATTTAGTAATAACATGATGTACACATGACAGGAAACAGATGTAAAAATAGTTACTAGGAAATTAGAATAAGTAAATAATATTGCATGATGTTGATGGTGTGCAAATAAGTCTGAAGATAACATTGTGCAACATATTAGTAGAAATTATAAAAATAGCTGTAGTGATCATTAAGTCATCATAAATGCAGTAACTAGCAATCTACTATATAACTGTTTTGAGAAAATCTTTAGCTTAGATGGTTGACTAGTCATTACCCACTGGTTGCCATCAATCTAGAAATAACAGAAAAAAGAAACACAACTTAAGGCCTAAATTATCATGTGGATAATGAGTTCACTGAAGTGCAAGCGGCAACATAGCAGAATGTTCATTTGAATGGTCAACCACACCAACATGACATAATCACTAAAAAACACTCCTCAAACCTTGATCACATCTAGCTGCCTCTCAGCAAGCTCTTGGTCCATTGATGAGCTTAGATTACCGATCCATGTAAATACTGTATCTCCATCATGCAGTATGTAACAATAAGAAGAGTTCAGCGACGATGCTGCCTGGTAATAAGAATCATAGCATTGTCATAACTTTTGCAATGAGGTAGAAACAAAACCCACTAAGATAACAAGGCCATAACACAACCATAATGCCTTGTTTGGAGAAGACAATAAAAAATAAAGTACCGTGTCAACTTGAATAGCTTGCATATTCTCTGGCCCTGAGCCCTGAACTCGAAAAAGTGCAACCCCGTTTTCTGAATAGGTATCATCTTCAATGCCATTTTCTGAGACAAATTTCTTATACCCAGTACTTGTACCTCCCTGTATTTAGTGAAAAACGTAAATACACATATGAATCATATTACCGCTGTAAGGAGAAAGAATTCACAGAAGCTTATATTCACATGAATTTGGTTAAAGAACAACCTTGTATATAACCAAGTTTTGAAATATTGGGAAAAATTCAATGGGTTCCTTTCCTTCATAAACGCGAACCTGTGATGACCAAAGAAAATGAGGTTAGGATAGTTAACCAAGATTTACAAAAATCTTTTAAGACAGGACTGGAAGAGTATTAACCAGAGCAGCCTGGAATTTTAAAGACTCAATCATCTTGTCAGCTAGTGAAATGGCTGCACTTCTTTCCTCCTGTTTATATATGGAAAAAAAGCAACAACATGGTTAAGTAATCCAACTCGATAGCATTTAACAAAGAAACAAAAGTGTTAAGAAGGCCATAATTGAATGCTCCTCGGAAATAGTGATTAATATATATACAATCTAGAAATGTTGGTAGTATAAGCAACACAGAATCAGTTCCTAGAAGTTGGTCTCACTAATTTTGATTTTTGAGAATATGCAAAGTATATTATCAATATATATAACAATATATATAAGGCTTGATCTTTCTTTTAATGATTCAGCTTAGAACAGCATATGCATTTCCATTTTCTCACATAACACAAAGCACATTGTTAATAAAGTACAGACATGCACTAAATAATGAGACATTGTGTAAGTTTCATGGCAATGTATCAATCATATGTGCAATGCAGCAAATGGAAAATGCATTAAACAGTTACCTGGACACTCTTCTTCCCAAACCAGGTACCAATAAGGCATTCATCTCCATTGTCTCCAGGGTAGGTGTATTGAAAGATATAGCAGTCTCCACTGTAAAACTTGCATTGCTCAGAGAACGAAAGGAAAGTCTTATCACTGCCATTCACGCGCCAAACCTGTAAGATATCAGCTACCTGAGATTTTGTACATCTAAATGACACTTTAGTTTCTTTTTTCTTGAACACGCAGGAGAACTGCATATCTTTATATTAAGAAGAAAAAGGGGCAAGACCCTTACAACACACACCCTTGTTTCTGAGATTACATATCTTCCCTTCTCTTACAACAAACACGACCAGAATTAGAATACCTACTGGTTCACAGCCAGCCCTAGGGCAAGAAGGAAAGAAATACACCGGGCCCATGCTAAGGTCCAGTAAAACATTTCCTCAAAGGTGAGCAGCAAAATGATATTTAGTGTTATGGTAGGAAAGTCTTAAGTGAATGAGTGCATGAATGGAGCAACACTGCACCCCCCCAACCAAAAAAGAACACGAATGTATCAGGCTATTATATAACGGTACAATCCTACTTGGCGCTTGGCCAATCAAAACATGGCTATTTTAGCAGTGGTGTTCAAAAAAACATTATTTCATCTTGTTATTGAAACTAAACCCTTCCAAGTAGATTTGTGTTCTACTGCTCTAACTGACAGTCTTATTCCAGAGTATCAGTGGTACTATGTCACAAGCTCAATAAATGATAAATCAATAGCTACAACTGAATGTGGTCTGGTTGCAATATCTTTTCTAAGAAAGGAAGTTCACTGACCTGTAAATTGCCAGTGCAATCAATCTGAGGTTGAGGCTCTTGCTTTACAGGAGCAGCTTTTGCTGGACCCTTAAAATTAAATCCTTGTCGCTTAAGAAGAGCTACAGTATGAAATTTAGTTAGAAAGAATCAGTTGTGGCAAATAAAATGGAAAAAAAAAGATTTGCGGCTCAGATGATAACCTGCCACTTTTCCTCTGCTTTCATCCGAGACAACTGCATCAGCTTTCTTGGGCCATTTATCAAACTTTGATTTGAATGTAACAGTCTCAAATCCTTCCATGAGCCGAATAATATGAGATTTTGGCCGGTTTCCTTCACGTAGTAATTCCTGAAGAAGTAAGAATGTGTTTCTGTATGTTTAGAGAAAAAAAATAGGCCAACTATTGTCTAAAATATGTGGCAAATAGAAAAATGAGAAAAACTGGAATGCCAGGGCGAGGACATCTTCTCAGATAATGATATTTAACTAATATATTGGGGTTAGTAGTCCGCAACACCAGGGATATCTTAAACTTGAAAACCCATATTGTGGATCATGCTGGTTTGCTGAACTACCCGCCAAGTAAAGTTGAATTGGTCAAAAGGCCTTCTCTTGCACATAAACTTTAACTCACATCAAAGATGGCACTACTATAACATAGTCAATACTCGCCATAGGAACTCTTTTTTATTGATGCGGGTGAACCCAAACTCTTTTATAGGCAATTTCTAGTTTGATGCCTAAGCTTCCCATGCTTAACAACATTGGCTGCAAAATTTCTTAGCAAATATACATCTGTGGTTGCCACATTGGTGATGGACCTTAGCTCTATTACATCTGTGGTTGACCTCTCATTGGCCTCCTTTTTTCCCTATATCTGCCGTGGCTGGTTCACATAAAGTGGAGCATTATCATAGCCACTAAATCAAGATTGCAGAAGAAAGACAATGTTACCTCAGCAGCCGAGCCTCCTCGTTTCCTTTCTTCAAGAGTTGTTTCTCTACCCATCCAGACATAAATTTCAGAACCACAGTCTAGTAGGTAACACTTTGATGAATCTAACAGCTCTCTTTTTAGAATTTCGCAATCAATAGGAGCTGATTGGCCCTTATTGACACTGGTAGTAAAAAATAGAAAAAAAAACATTTCAGCAGAGGAGAAAATAGACATGCTATAGCATAACCATGAAAGATATAATTCATTCAAAAAGAATTAAATTTACTATGTTTTGTCCCTTGTGATATATTACCAAAGCAATTTTGAAGTGGAAGTAGAATCTTTCCCGTTGAGTTCAGAAAACGTCTTTCTTGGTAAAGGAGCAAATCCGCCAAAGAGACCCCAGAATTCACCAGCATCAGCGTCTGCCATCAACTTTCCATCCTCTGTTTGAAAGACTCAATTATAATTCTGAAAGAATATCGGACCTTGTCCATTTGAGCTTGTATAGACCCTTTTGACCAAGATTAACTTACCAACCGCCGCTACTTCACATTTCCCATCATGGTTGGTATCTTTAAGATGTTGCACAACCTCAAGTGCTTTAGCCCTCTCCTGAATACTTGAATTTGATCCATTGAATTGGAATATCTTAGATTTTGTATCTAAAATAAATATGTCATCATGGTTGAGTGATGCTCGTGCAAAAGGAACCTGTTGGAGAAAAAAAAAGGAATGTGGTATCCGTACTAGGAAGCTGACTGTACAAGGACCAATTGACAACGAAATTCACCTCTTTAACATGAACAGTATGCTTTCCTCTGCAGACAAATAATCGTGTTTTATGCTCCCGCTCATTTACTTCAGCGTGCCTGAAGCCAGATGCAACACCACCTTCCTCTGGTATAATACACGGCTTAAAGTACGAAAGAAATTTCTCAGTCTCATTTCCCTGTATTTCACGGTATTGGACAGCTCTTCCACCAAGAGCAGCATCGAGTTCCACAGTCTTGATTGCAGCAGTACCAGCTTCATCCTATTCATTAATAACAATGCAATTTATAAATCTTCTTGTTCATTAGCTACATTGCAAGCAAATGAAATGAACTCAAAATGTGAAAGCAAACCTGACTGGTATCTTTGCCGAGCCAATAATGGATATCATGCCGAAAAGAACCATTCTTAAGGGCAGTTGTCTGTTCAAAGAACAAAATAACTATTAATAAATTTCACTCCTGATCAATATGAATATGAGCATATAACTGTAATCTGAGTATCTGCACAATATAAACATTTTATTGTAGCACAAAGAATATACTGAAATGATCAGTAGCATCAGAAACAACTAATTCCTTCTAGTATGAAGGATGCATGATTTGATAAGCATGTGAACTGGGGAAGTAAAGATGTAGTGAACTAGTGATCTTTGGAGTAAAGATGTAAGCAATGGAAACAATTGCGCTCCTGACATCAGGCAGCTCACAACGTTTTTTCCCATAGAACTAAATATAGGAATTGACGCATTTACTATATGAGCAAAGCTGAGTACCTTCAGTACTATATAGGAATCTCCTGTGAAAAATTTCCCATATGATTCCTTGGGAACAGGAACAGCCTGTAACTTTTCAATCCGCCATATTTCCAATCCACTGACCGTTGTTAAGGATAATAATACAGAGATGAATTAATAAGAATCATAGACAAACAGAATTGAATGTTAGTACTGCAGCACCATGCTAACCTAATGTCCCCAGTTATTATCACAAAGGTTTACCGTGGACTCGTGGTTCATGAAATATAATTTGTGGTCGACCTACAAGTTTTTTAAGGATTTTCTACTGGATACTATGGCAGCAGGGACTAATTCGAAATAATAATAAAACTGTAATGAGAAAAATGATGGCACGTGACATTCTTGGAATGAAACGACAGGCAGGGATAAGTATAGATATTGTGACCAGTAGCAAACTAGAAACTGAAGGATACTCTTTTTGACCTGCACCTTGAAAAACAGGATCCACCTCCCTCATTGAAACAGCCATAGGACCCCTAGATTTTGTCGGACTAGTCTTTGGTGGTTTTTGCTTCAGGAGAGAAGAAAAGGTGTGCTGAAACAGGGGGGGAAAGATGAATCCTCAAAGCAAGCCTGTATAAAAGCATTCTTAAACAAGAACATAAACACAGATCCTTTATAATATTTAGACGTGGATAGTGAAAATCCGAAATGAGATGAAATACATGCGAATTTTTTGACAACACTGCATGCAAAAGTTTCCTATTCAAAACGCCTACTGATAGAAACACAATGCCGCTTGTGAGTTTTGCCATTCATAAGGGCTGAGGACTTCCTTCTATGTCATTAGAATGTCTAGCAGTTCCCAAGACCTCTTGTCTGCTCCTGTATAATGCTAGGAACTCGAACAACACCCGAGAAACATCCACAAACTAAGGAGTTGGCATGATATAGAGCAAACTAACATCCTGATCACAGTATCACCCGGCTTCAACAAAGGGGCAGACCCAGTGCCGGAGGCTCCCACATGAGTGGGGTCTGGGGAAGGGATAAACCAAGACAAGCCTTTCCCCCGCAAAATCTGCGGAGAGGCTGCTTCGAACCCACGACCTGGTGCAGAAAGTACTGAAATTGCTTGTATCATCCGGCTTCAACAATGTGACAGAAATTGCTTGTATCCAACTATGGTGCAGAAAGTACTGAGCATAAGATTTGCAAAGACCAGCCAATTCACTAAATTCCAGATAGAACATCACATCATTTGCAGACTCAAACTCCTATACCCACAGAATAGACAGGTGCTTGACACGTTTCCAGGATGTTATGGAACTGCTCCAGTGAGCTCCCACCTTCCATTCCAATGAAGTACCAGCTGCCGAATTTGATCAGCCCATTTAACAGAAGGTTGAAAGCTAACCCACGAAATGCGGTGTTTCTTTGTGCAACTCCCGGCCAAAGTCCAATTGAGAAGACATGACATCCTAGGTCCAACAAAACATCCATATCCAGCTCACTCAATCCAAAACAAAATGGATGTGTGGGAACTTGCATGACTCATGCTCCAACACACAAAACTAACCGAACCTTGCTTCCAAAACAATCCAACTGGGCAGCCAAATCCAATGACTTCTGGAGCACGAATAAGCATCAGGATAAGCAAACAGAGCCATCAAGTGGCAGATGAACAAGCATAAATCGGACCAAATTCCGGCCACCCAGATCCACCTCACGCCCAAAAAGAAAAACAAAATCGCTCCTCTCATAAGACTAGTCTCCAGACAGCGGCTTAAACCATTACAGTGATCCAACGTCTAATCTAAATCGCACAAAATGGGCATTCCCATTCCAAATGCCAAACGGCCAGATCCCAATCCGCCATCCAGAAATCAACCGAGCAAAATTTCCCCACCACTACAACATGCTAAACCCCATCATTCATCCACGACCCACTAACAAATCCCAAAAACTCACAGAATTCCCACAGCCCAGATCCGACGCACCCAAGCCGGGCAGACAAGCAGAGACCCCCGCGTACCTTGATCGCTGACCCCGGCGCGGCCATGGTCAGACCTCAGATCGCCAGAAGCCGAAGCCCCGATCAGAGGACCAACTTAACCACCCCCGCCGCGGGCACCATTAAACAAATCCCCGGCCCTTCCCTCCCCACATCATTCCCTAAAAAAAATTGCTGAAATGGAGGATTCGGTCGCCACGCACCTGGGCCGGGGGGCGGTGGCGGAGTCGAATCGTGGGGAGGACTTAGCTAGCCAGCGGGTTGCTGTCGCTGCTGCCGTTAGCGCGCGCCCGGGCTGGCGTTAGCCTTTTGCGGGGGCGAACGAACAGGGCCACGAAAACGAGGTGAAGCCTCCGAATTAACTAATAATCCGTTAATCCCCGGCTAAACGGGACGGAGCGGAGAGAGGTTGGGTTTGGGAGGCGAATGATTGGAGGCGAGGCGTGGGCGTGGCGGGTGGCGTGCTCGCCACTATGGCGGAGGAGGACGACGAGGAGGATGGAGAGGACAGGCGAGGGGGAGGTGGAGCAGGTGTTTGGGAGTTTGCGCTATTTATATTTTGGATGAAATTCTTCGCTGCGCCGTTATTCTGTCGTGGCTCCTCGTTCTGACGAGCTGCCGAGCTGGGGAAACAGCCGTCTACAGCTACAGGCGGATATACTAGCATGATGCTAACGGCGTAGAGGACGACATGGTACAGCTAGATCTGCATAATCAGGGAGAAAAGAAAGAGAAAGAGAAAGAGAAAGAGAAAGGGAGCTCGATAAAGCGAGAGACTGAAAGGTTGTTGAAAATGATAGGAGCAAAATGTTCGTCAAACTTTGAAGGTTCCAGCAGCCTGCTTGATATGATAAACAAAACAAGAAATGATAGATGATGTCGCCTTCATGGAAATGAAAATTCACACGCCGTTTGAAATTGATGCCATATTTGAACTTTGGCACAAGAATGGTTCAACTTATGCGTTTTAATGCCAACTTAGATAGAGTACTTAAAGATTAGCGGGTATATATATGAGTTAGTCTAAGTGCTGGAGCAGAGTTGTGGAGAAAAATACAAAATTATGAGGAAGCTTGGACTTCACTTCTTTTTTTACAAACGCGGACGCTCACGTACATGAGCGCGCACTCACCCTACGGACACCATATCTCTATGAGCACCTATGAAGACCTGAGTTGGATTGGCAATAGAGGAACTACAAACAAAAGAAATTCACCGTGAAGTGGTTTGAATTATTTTGACCGTTAGAGTAATGGCTATTAGGAAAAATACAAATTTACAAGGAAGTTTAGCTGTGACTCTACGTATGAAAGAAAAAAAAAACTAAAACTGAGCAAAATTACACGCACACTAGGTGGCTATTGGATACTCGTCGCGTGCATTGGTTAATGGAAGCATACTTGGGCATACCGCATACTTTGGAATTGCGAGGCGACAAGGATGCTAATATGCTATGGCCACGTGTTGTTTCCGTGTTTGCGGCGCTTATACGCGAGACGCCGAAGAAAATCCCGTCGAACGCCCTGCGATTTTCGCGCGTTGGTCGGGCGCGCGTAACTGAATAAGCGAGAAAATGAACTACGTAGGCCGAAATCACAAATCACAAGATTTGAGCCGCGTTCGGCTTACCGTGGTCACGAATTTCGTCGGTCGCCGTTCCAAACATGGCATATGTATGATACCAACATTGGTAGCAGCTTGCAATGGCAAAGAGGTGACTGTCACACAAGTGCAAAACCTATGCATTCATTAGCAGGATTTGAATATTAATCATACTTAAATTGCATTTCGTACGACCCCACCACCTTGCTAAGAGAATCTTCATCGGTTCCTAATTTACCCTCGTCTGAACACCATTAGTTGTTTCATTCCAGGAAGAATTACAATCAGATTATTAGAGAAAGTTTTTACTCGATCGCATGCTAGCTGGCGGGCCTGCCCACACAGATGTTCTTACCAAAAGTACCAAGCAAGCAAACAAAGGTCTTTGGCACTTCTGTTGAGCTGTCTGGCGGCTCGAAGCCATCGGTCCATCCATAATCCATGTAGTCCTACAGGGAAAAAAAATGTGATTGCGCCGAAAGGTGACGAGGATTAGGATAGTCCACGTAGCCATTCATAGAGGTCGGTCACCGCCCAGGCGCCCACCGGCAACCGGCAGCTCAAAAACAAGTCTGGGAGGCGAAAGGGGACAAATGGAGAGCGGACAAAGTCCAATTCCCGGTGCCGCCCGGTCGTACGCAGCGCGCGCGGCGCCAGCGCCACCCTGGCGGTGGCGGCACGGGCGCGGTGGGGCTGGAGGCCTGGGGCCCGGCGTACCGGGGCGTCACAGGGTGGACGCCCCCCGTCTCGGTGCCAGGACGGGGAGGGTTCCGTTCAGCTGCGCGCCTGTGCGGCTGTGCCTGATGGTGCGATGCCGGTGCGGCGTGGTGAGCCGGACCGACGTCTGAAGTCTGAACCGACGGATCGTTTGATATTGCTCTCCTCCTGCTGTTTTTTTTTTCGCGCGGCGTCGTGTGGGTGTGGCCAGTGTGCTTGCTTCGCGGAGACAGCACGGGTTCATCCCGGTGCGCGGGAGTGGCTTGGCCGGTGCACGGTGGCGGTGCTCGTGCTGGGAGATTGACGGGCTGTTGGGAGATGACGTCGTGACTTTCGTAGTCTGATATTTTTGAGGCCGTGAGCACCATCCTTCGTCTAAGAACGAACTTCGGACGTCGTGACTTTCATGAGGCCGTGAGCTCGTCAGCACGGAAAGTGACGAGCAATGGCGCCTCAATCTGATGCTTGGGTACAAAGTACAGCAAACTCGTATTCGTATGGCACGAGCCACGAGGAAGCTGCGACGACGACCGGATGTCAGGAGACGGCGTCGGCTTCCCCAGTTCATAGGCGGCGGAGTATGATTTTTCTGTTCCTGCTCACCTCGGGATCACAAAGAAGATGGCCATGTGCCAATGTATCATGTAGTACATGTACATCGTCTTTTGAACACGTAATTTTTTTCATAAATTCCGTATTTTCTTTTGAAATTCATACATAATTCGATTTTTTTTTTGTATTTCAAAGGGCTCGTAGACAACTTTTCAACATGACATCTACAATCCGACAAACTTATAACAATTTCTCAACATCAATTTTGTAGGTATACTTTCATATAATAAATATAAATATTACAAATGACGTAACTTATACACATAAGCTTTTGTTGTTCAGCATATTTAAAAAAAAAGATACAACTTCACATTTTTACACAGTTTGTTATGGACAAACTTTTCTCAACCTAAAAATTTGTTCATAGTATATAAAAGAAAAATAGATAGGTTAATAATAATAAGAAGAAGAAGAAGAAGAAGAAGAAAAGAGAGTGAGATAATAGGGCGTAGTATCGGATATCACGTCATGATTGTGAAATCGTTGTAAGAAAGTTAGGTTTGAAATGTCATGTAGGAAAATTATTAAGATAAGTTGTCTACAAATTTTTATAAAAAAATATTGAAAATAATTATGATTAGAAGTTGCTGTGATATGTTATGCCCCACAAAATATTACGTGTAACAATTTTGAATATTATAACTTTGTAACTTTCTAAAAATGAAAAATTATGAAAACATTTTTTCCCAAACAAAAGAAAGTCACGGGGTTGTCTTAGTTTGCTGTTTTTTTATTATGGCGAATGTTCTCTAATTTGGATTTGGGAATAAAACATGGTCAATAATCTTTTTTTTAGGAGAACATGGTCAATAATCGTTTGGAGCCTTGGAGGTATTTAGAAATCCTCAAATTGGGTCTAAAAAGTTCCCTTGTTTTAGACCGACTCCAAACTGGACGGCCCAAACGACTTCACAGGCTGTGGCTCGTCGACACCGACACAATTGCAGGCTTGCACCACTCTGTATTCTGTAACGGGCCACGATCTCTGGGGCCCACATAACATGCCACTGTCACCGGAAGCCCAGAGTCAGTCAACTGCCAGGCGCGACTCCCGCCACTCTTCTCGGCTCTCGCTTCGCCCTCGCCGGATCCACAGCCCGTTCGCATCACTCGCCGCGGGGCAGGGACAGCTCCCCCCGCACCGGTTGCCGGCTTCCCCGATGCCGTCCACGCCGCGGCTCCCCTGGCGCCTCGTCGTCCCGCTCGTCGCCGCCTTCGCCTCCGTCCCGTTCATCCTCCCGCTCACGCTCCCCTCCTCCTCCGCTCCAACGCCTCCCCACGGGCGCTCTCCCTGAACCGCCTCACCTGGCTCCCTTCGTCCCCAACGATACGGACAGCTCCGACGGTTTCGCCGCCACTTGCTCTGTCACCGTCAGTACCATCCGCGCCCTCGCCGCCAATGTTACATATGTCACCTTCGCCTTCCCCACCACCGCCGTCTCCCTCTGCACCGTCCGTCCCCCCATCGCCACTGATGATACAGGCGCCGCACTCTCCACCGCCGCCGCCGCCGATACAAGCACCGCATTCTCCACCGCCGCCATCGATACAGCCGCCGCATCCACCACCACCGCATTCTCCCTCTCCGCCACCGCCTGCGTCCACGGCAGCGGCGGCGGACGAGAAGGCAGGTGAAACTGAAACCGGAAGGTGCGACGTGTACAACGGGGAGTGGGTGCCGGACGAGGAGGCGCGGCCGCTTTACCCGCCGGGAACGTGCCCCTACGTGGACGAGGCGTACGCGTGCGCGGCAAACGGCCGGCTGGACTCCAGGTACACGCGGTGGCGCTGGGCGCCGCGCCACTGCAGCCTCCCCAGGTACCACTACCAACCCACCCACCGACACGTTTGCGTTGCGTCCCCAAAAAATGTTGCTGATTCGCGCGCTAGGTCCGTAGGTTCAACGCGACGGACTTCCTGGAGAGGCTGCGCGGCAAGCGGCTGCTGCTGGTGGGCGACTCGATGAACCGGAACCAGTTCGAGTCCATGCTCTGCGTCCTGCGCGAGGCCCTGCCGGACAAGGCCAGGATGTTCGAGACGCACGGGTACAGGATCAGCAAGGGCCGAGGCTACTTCGTCTTCAAGTTCGCGGTAAATGAAATCAATCAAGTGTAGTGGCAGCCTGCAACTACTGTAGCTAGCTAGCCTGGAATGGAGGTAGAGGAGGATGATGAACTCGTTCAGCGTGTGTGTGTGTGTGTATGTGACGAACGAACGTAGGACTACGGCTGCACCGTGGAGTTCGTGCGGTCGCATTTCCTGGTCCGCGAAGGGGTGCGCTTCAACAGGCAGGGCAACTCCAACCCGATCCTCCAGATCGACCGCATCGACAAGACGGCGAACCGGTGGAGGAAGGCCGACGTGCTCGTCTTCAACACCGGCCACTGGTGGACGCACGGCAAGACGGCGAGAGGGTACGCACGGCTTTCGATGATAGATTGTGCTGTTTTTGCAGCTCAAACAATCAGCCTCCTCTGCTCATAGTTACTGATCACTGATCAGTCTCGAATTTGGAACGATGTGCACAGCCAGAACTACTACAAGGAAGGCGATACGTTGTACCCTCGATTCGACTCGACTGAAGCTTACATAAGAGCCCTCAAGACATGGGCTCGCTGGATCGACAAGAACATGGACCCGGCCAGAAGCGTCGTCTTCTACCGAGGATACTCCACTGCGCATTTCAGGTGACGATAGATCGAGCAACCAACAGTAGTAGTGTGAAGCACAGAAGCAGGCTTGACAGGAGTTTCACGTGTTTTTTGGGTGGCAGGGGAGGCGACTGGGACTCCGGCGGCTCGTGCAACGGCGAGACGGAGCCGACGTTCAGAGGCGCCATCATCGACAGCTACCCTCTGAAGATGAGGATCGTGCAGGAGGCCATCGCCCAGATGCGGTTCCCGGTGCGGCTGCTGAACGTCACGAAGCTGACCAACTTCCGCAGGGACGGCCACCCGTCGGTGTACGGCAAGGCCGGAGACAAGAAGGTGTCCAAAAGGAAGCAGGACTGCAGCCATTGGTGCCTCCCCGGCGTGCCGGACGCCTGGAACGAGCTCATCTATGCCTCTCTTGTCTTGGAACCCAACCCTGTCGCATGGGAAAACAGATGAGAGCTTATTAGCAAGACTGTTCCAGCCTTGATGGCTCAGCTATTAGCAAGTGTGATGCTGTTGCTAGTGCGTACAGACGCAGCACTGTGCGATTGATTAACGGACTTCACGTATACACGCCACTTCAAAATTTTGATATAGTATCATTCAAATCCCGAGTCTTCGCAAACTATTTGCGTTCTGTCGAGCTTTACAATCTTCAAAGATGCGACTTCACCACTAATAAATGTATTGTAAAATAAATTTTCAACAAAAATCAGCACACATGATTAGTATGTTTCAGAATTTACAAGTTTTATAATGGTTGGAAAAAACATGGACCGTCCATCGGCGAGATCGAACAGTAGAAAAATAGGAAGTACTCAAGCAAAGGTATTGAGAAGTACCAAAATACGTGGGACCGGTACCAAAACGTGTAGAGCCAATACCTATATTTTCTAGTTGATATACTGATTTTTTTTAAAAAAATAAAGGGCACCTGGGTAATTTAACTTGGTTCAATGTCATCGACCCTCGGATCCATCGCGCCCCAGCACCAATTTCCTCGTCTCCCTCTCCATCCCGAGCATCATCACGAACATGAGAATGAGAATCGTTCATGGTGAGCTCCTTTGTCGTTGCTCCTGTCTAGATCGAGCTGAGCGACGATCCTTGTGACCGAAAATGGATCCCCTGCAACCTGAGTTCCGCCTCCGGAATCCGGATCCAGATGCACCCTCATCGCCGGTAGTTTATCGAGTTGGGGATGATTTGTGCTCATGCGCCGCCCAGCCTCTACCCTTCCTCCACGTCATGCACGGAGTGCCACGACCGGATAGAGCAGATCCTATATATGCATCTCGCCACCGCGCGCCCTCCTCCTGGCCATGCGTCGTCACAGCCGCCCTCATCCTGTACAGCATCGTAGGCAAGGCTAGTGGGTAGTGGCTGGTTCTTACGCCACGGTAGGGTCGAACCGGCGAGTTCCGACCATGGAGTCAATGCATGGAACCATCACAACAAAAATAGTTAATAAACTATGGACTGCAAATTTGATAGATATGAAATGATTAATGATTGCTTTTGTGATGATTAGAGCAAGCCATATGTGTTTGCTTTGATTAATCAGTGCAACTGAATTGTCCTGTAAGCCTATCGTTTGTTGTCGGAGCTCATGAACCGAGCGGGATGGCTGCTCTACTGCGAAGGCACGTAGTGACCTGCTTCCTCCATTTCGAAGTTGTTTTGGACATCGACACCGTCTTCGAAAACAACTTTAACTGCTACCTTTTGCTATAAAATATTAATAAAATATAGTCAATATATAATTTTATAAAACTACATTTGGAGATAAATCTACTTACATCACTTTCATATTTTCAAACGCAACACAAAAGAATTTATTTGTAGTCAATGTTTAAAATGTTTGACTTAAGACAACCTCAAAGACTTCCTTTAGGAAAATAGAGGGGGTAGTGGGTAGTCGCCTCAGTGCGTCGGCTGAGGGGGTTGTTGACTCGACCAGAGCGAGTCAAACATTAAGAATTACCAATATATCATTCTCTCTATGAATTTATTTTTAATTTTCTTTCTCAAATTCATGTTCTGTAAAAATAAAAATAGAAAGTACCGTTACTTTCCAACCACGAGAAAAGTTAATGAAGACGTAATTGGTTAGTTTACGTGATCCAAACATAAATGGCGTAGTTTCTTGGGTGGCCCAAGCTAGTGAGGCATTTAAAAACAAGAGAACCGCAGGAGCTCAACCTCAATGAGAGCGTACATGTCACTCCGATTAATTCTGGTCGTCCGATCTTTGATCCCACGGCAGATGTTGCTTGAATCCGCTTCTGTCCAGAGCATCTTCTTGTAGCTTCTATTGCTTTCGCTTCTACTCAATACCAAATATATATCCAGCTTCCGATTCACAGCACACACTCCTCTCTCTCGTCCCTGCCTCTCCTCCCGTCCTCCCTCTCCCTCTCTCTTGGCTAGGGCGGGCCCCGTCGCGCGCGTCCCGACGGCAGCGGCGTGGCAGGCCCCCGGTGTGGTGGCTCGGCACGGCCCCCCCGGGCACGGCAGCCCTGGCATGGGCGGGCCCCGACACGGTGGCGGCGCGGTGCCCCGGCGCGGGCACGCTCCAGCGGCGGCCGCCGGTGCAAGGCGAGCACGCCTGCCTCTCCCACCTCCCTCCTCTCTCGTTTCTCAGGGCGCGGTGCGAGGGTGCTCCCCGGGGTAAACGGGTGTCAGCCTTTGCTGGGGTCGATCCGAGGCCTCCGTGACCAGATCTAGGACCTCCATGGACGGATCCGTTCGTTCCCCTACCGGATCTGTCCTGAAGGCGTCCTCTCGCAGCGTCCAGTGTCGAGGGATGCGGCATGGGGGCGTCCTACTGATGTGTGCTTGGTACATGGTGTTTATAGACTGCAGTTGCATTTACCGAATTTACGTGTGTCCTTAGGAGCCACTGTTACCGATTTTCAGGTCACTGTGCGGAAGGGGTTATTAGTTGCTGCTTGCTAAGTTTTGTAGCTATTGCTGCCCTCTCTTATGTGCATATGCAGCAGTAGCATGTTGCCAATGTAAGTTGTCTTTATGTTCCATACGTCCGGCACGGTTGTTTACTTTAGAAGTAGTAAATTTAAAAGTAGTAAATTTAATGAACCAAGGAATGGTCTCCAGGTCCATGTGATTTGAAACATGATTTTTATTGTAGTGAGGTGTGCGACGTTACTTGCAACTATTGAAACAAAAAAGACACAATGTGTTAAACAACTTCGAAGTGCATAGTTCATATGGAGTGAAAATGATAGCCTGTGTATTCTAGAATTTCTTTTGGGTACTTTAGAAGTAGTATTTTTGATTGATTTTTTTCATGGCCACAATGGCCATTGCTAGATTACCAATTTAGACTTAGCATTATGTAGGTGTGCAAGATTAGCACGATTAGCATTGTTGTGGCAAGGAGCTCTTGGCACGCCAATCTATGCAGGTTTTGCTTGTCCTGATAAGATTCGTGTCGTACCCTTATAATGTTTCTGTGAATTTCTCTTATGTCACCCTTGGGAGTACCATGTACACATCATGCTTCTTATGCCACAATCTTTGTATTCCTCACCTAAGCTTGGCACTTATTCATATTACTCTTTACTGTTAATCTACAACAACTATAGTACTAAGTTATTTTCCTTCCTAAAATGATGCTATCTTTTTTTGCTCTTACTATTTGCTTCTGTAAATTACCAGTTGCAAGGAAAATACTCTCCTTTTTTTGCTTGATGTATATTTCAGTTTTAAGTTCTTAGTGCTAGATGGGAACTGATGTATATTCGGTTGCATAGAAAACTTTTAGAATACATTACCACTTGGTTGTGGTGTTTTCCAATCTGAATTGGCCAAGTTGACTCAGGTTTCTATTGTGTGGTTTCTAGATGACCTAAAAAATTAGTTACCTTGAAAACTTCAATCATTTCCTGTAATTTGTTTTCTAACTTGGAAAAACTTATTTGGTGTGTGAGTGTTTCTAATTTTTCATAAATCAGTTTAGAACAATCAGCTTGTATTTTAAATTATTTCAGTTGTCCCTTTGATTCCTTTAATTCAACCAATATTTATCATTCATTTATGGTCCAAATAACAAGTCAAAAATTATGTATGCATGCTAGTGCTGATGGATCAGGATCATACATTTGGCCACATATGTAGTTATCGGATGCCTAGACCTGTAACATCTTCGTTTTGTAGCCATAAGAAAGTCTTCCTTTTTTCCAGAATAGTTGGTTTGAGTAGACAAAAAGGTGAGGTTATTCCAATTGTATCTTTTTTTAATGTTAATTGATGATATACCCTTAAGGTATTATCTGGTTCATATTATAACAGTCAAGGCAACCAACAAGCGTATTGTGCTATATCTGATTAAAAATTATATGTTCACTTATCTGAGCGAATTCCTTTATAAGTCTAAACCTGAATTGTCAGTTATGGTTGATAATTTTCTACTTGGCTGGTGTTCTACTAACTGCTCGATAAGTGTATATTTTTAGTTGCTACCTATAGATGTATTGTTGTGTCATGCACAGATGATTATCAGTGGTTTAGCAAATATAATGCCTAGGCTGACATCTCTTTTCCTATTTCAAGTATGGAATGAAATGGTTCGATCCAATATATTTTTGTGTATGTCGTAGGAATTTTAATGTAATACAACCCTTCGATATTGCCATTTAATGTTTCATGACACGTGAAAGTTGCTTCAGGGTTAGTTAATAATCTTATTCAAATGAAAGATTGTTAGAACTTCCCTATCTAAGACAGCTCAAATATTTGTGCTATGATATTATTTTAAAATCCAGCCAGCAATGGATTGTGAAAGCATCTAGGCCCCTACTTGGGTTTCAGTGATTAATGACAATACGAGATTACTGTGACTAACGTGTGTTTTGCAGATGTAATTAAGTTATGTCATGGTAATGGCAATTGATTGGGCAATCATGGTTGTCATGCACCTACGATGAAAATCATTTCGGTTTTCAAAGGATGGACGACAAGGTTAAGGATGGACTAGTTCTAAGTACCGTTTGGTGTTGAAGAGATACTTAGAGTAGTTTAGGACTTTGTTTTTCTTTTGGTCGTACTATAAAGGGGGGTATGGACAGGTAGCTTGACCTAGGTAAGTCTAGTGGGTTAGGTGTGGTGCACACTTATCAAAACTAGCACTAGGTAGCTCCAAAATAGCCCTAAGATCAATTGGAGCAAACTTCATTCACATATGATTGCGAGTTGGAAGTGAATGGAGGGTTAAATATTGACCGGACGCTGGTTCCGGTGTGACCGGACGCTGGCGCAGAGTCCGGTCAGTTCATTTGATCAAGGTGAAGTCATCTGGATGCGACCGAACGCTGAGAGGTGAGTGACCGGACGCTGGGTGCCAGAGTCCGGTCAACTCCAGTAAGGTCCCAGAGAGGGAGAATCCTGATCGGACGCGTCCGGTCAGTGCTGACCGGACGCTGGTCAAGTTCCGG